AACTGTGGTGTTAGAGAAGATTCTTGAGAGTTCTTTGGACTGCTAGGAGATCAAACCAGTCCATCCTAAAGGAGATCAGTACTGAATATTCATTGGAAGGACTGATGCTGAAGCTGAAGTTCCAAAACTTTGGCCACCTAAGCGGAGAACTGACTCACTGGAAAAGACCCTGATACTGGGAAAGATTGAAGGCAGGAGTAGAAGAGGATGACAGAGGATGAGATGGTTGGATGGCATCACCGACTCGATGGACATGAGTTTGAGCAATCTCCTGGAGCTGGTGATGGACAGGGAAGCCTGGCATGCTGTTGTCCATGGGGTTGCAAAGAGTCGGAGATGACTGAGCGACTGAACTGAACTGAACTGAGCACAATTCCTGGGTCTCGGGTGGGAGGGCCTGTTCATGGACCTCTGGAAGACAATAGGGGCTTTTCAGAAATCAAAGGGACACCTTGTGGACCGTAGGGAACTCTCATGTATGATTTGATATAATCAAATTAAGTGTTTAGCACAATGCCGGGCACATACTTGTGCCCAATAAATACAAGCAAATTATTATAATCATTCATAGGGAGGGACCAGAGGTGGCTCAGTGGTAAAGAACCTGCCAGCCAATGCAAGAGACTTGGGTTTTATCCCTTGGTGGGGAAGATCCCCTGGAAGAGGAAATGGCAACCCACTCCAGTATACCTGCCTGGGAAATCCCACGGACGGAGGAGACTGGCGGGCTGCAGTCCATTGTGTCGCAAAAGTTGGATATGACTGAGCACACACACAGACACACATTCAGAGGGAAGTAAGAATGGACTATGCAGGAAGGCCCATTATAGGCAGGGAAAATCTTGAAGGAGTTGGTTGACAGCAGTGAGCACTTTGGGTACCTGGAGCTGCATCCCAATTCTTCTAAGTCCAGAGAAGAGAGAATCCTGTCTCTGCTGCCTGGAGTGCTCAGCACACACAACATTTATGGAAGTGAGAAGTAAACGGGATGAGAGAACTCAGTGGCAGAGCAGGCTGCACACAGCCAGTCCAAGGGACAAGTAGGGCAGTGTCCAGCTTAACTGCAGCCCTTGGCGACGCCAGAGGAAGCTCTGTCCATGAAGATATTTGCAGGCACACATTCACACTCCCTTAGGGGGAAGTCAGAGAGCTGCTGGTCAGGAGGGTTGGGAAGAAAGACTACATGGTAAGTGGGATGGTTGGATAATTCTGGGCTTGACTTCCCCAAGAAATCAAGCAAGGGACCAAGGTCCCTACACCTGCTCGGGGCAGCGGAGATTTTCAGAGGGAGGGGACATGGCGCTAGGGCCCCACAGCGAGGCTGAGAAGAGTGAAAGGGGAAAACTGCTGGTTTCAGAGAGGAAATCTCTGGGGCTGTGGTTGCAGAGTGGGCGTGCACTGATCCCCGAAGCCTCCAGGGGGCGCTCAGGCCCAAGTTTGGACATGCGCTTTGTCCACAGCCCAGGACACAGAGCTGGGAATAACTCAGGAAAAGCAGAAATGGCTAACATATCCACACCTGGGTTCTCAAGTGGCCTCTCAGCCCCTGCTCAGGAGGTGAACTTTCATGCGAGCTGCCTTCTGTGCAGAAGACTCTGCTGGCCTAGTCCCTGAGCGGTTGAGGGGGGTAGGGGGGCCAGTGGAGGCTGAGGCGGTTGGGTCGGGGGTGGACGGGAGGAGAGGAAGGCTGCCAATAATGCCATCTAAACCACCTTAGAATAGACAAACAAATTAGGAAACAATAGTGGAAGAGTGCCACAGATCAGTCTTCCGTGATAGGTAGATCCAGGGGTGCTGTGATGGGGACCAGAGCGGTGTGGGAAAGAAGAGGCCAAGCTGACAAACCACCGTCCAGGGTAATGTGTTGCCTCCCAGCAGAGGCCCTTGCTAGGCCACAGGGGAGGCTGCTCCTGGACCAGAAGGTCCACGCAGGGCCCTGTCAGTACTAGTGAAGACCCTCATGGTGGCTTTTCCAGGGGGTGTTCCCGCTCGGTGTGAACACTTCAGTCTCCCCAGGCAGGCTCAGTGAAACCTGTAGGACACGTGGACACAGTTCTGGAACTAGAGATGACTGTTGAGGGGTTGGCGATGAAAGGTCACTGGCTGCTCTAGGAGGGCTAATCCCAGGAAGGTTATATAAGATTTTAGAGGCTGAAGACAAGGAGAAAGGGGGAGTCTGGGAGTAGCAGCCCCCAGTGCCCAGCAGCTGGGAGGAAGCGGGCCCAGTCAGAGATACCCTGCAGTGGGAGAAATGGGTGTCGGGTATCTGCTGAGGGAGTCGAGGTGCTACCCATGCTGCCGAGGGCCTGAGGAGTCCAGCTTTGTCCGCTAACCTCAGGGGAGGAACAGTGTTAACATGACAGGTTTTCATGGTGAGTCAGGAGAGGACGCTAAACCTGATGGCAGAGGCCTGGTAACACGTTCCAGGGGTCCCAGAAATCTCTGTCTTCTTGTCAGAAGGAACCTTTGCAGAGTAGATAAGGGATCTGAGGCCTTTGCTGAGGTTATTTAAGGGGATGTCAAGGGCATCTGAGAGGGATCAGGGGCCCTTCAGGCTGGGTTGGGGAACAGGGATCCTGAAACCGCAGCCTGGCCCAGAGCTGACTGTTCATATTTGTCTCCTGCAGCTACGTCTCCGATAGAAACAGGTAGACCCCAGTGAGTGCTGAAGATAGCAGATACTAGAGATAGCAGAGCTGAGAGGAGGAGAGGAATGTAGGGCTGGACACTGGAGAATGAAACAAGACCACAAGATGAAGGTCAGTGCCATGGAGACCTATGACCCCTAGATCACAGTATGTCTCCAAAATAAAACACCCCCAATCCTGATGTTCTCCTTACCTGGGAAGGAGACAAACTGTCAGAAATTTGGCAACATTAGTAACACTATTCAGTACTTGAATGTTTTTCATTCAATAAATATTTATTTAACATCTATTACAGGCATACCATGTTTATTGCACTTTGCTTTATTGTACTTCACAGATACTACTTTTTTTTGCTGTTGTTACAAATTGAAGGTTTGTTGCAACCCTGGGTTGAGCAAGTCTTTTAGCACATTTTTTCCAACAGCATTTGCTCAGTTCACGTTGCTGTGTCACATTTTGGTAATTCTTGAAATATTTCAAACTTTTTCAGTTTTATTATATTTGTTCCAGTAATCTATAATGTTACTATTGCAAAAAGATACAACCCCTTGAAGGCTCAGATGATGGTTAGCATTTTTAGCAATCAAGTGTTTTTAAGTTAAGGTATAGAGGCTTCCCTGGTGGCTCAGTGGTAAAGAATCCACCTGCCAATGCAGGAGACACTGATTCTCAGACCCTGGTCTGAGAAAATCCCACATGCTGTGGAGCAACTAAGCCCTTGTACCACAACTACTGAGCCTGTGCTCTGGAGCCTGATGGTGAATGGGGGCCACTCTCTAGGGGTGGTGTGCAGGCTTCTCATTGCAGTGACTTCTCTTTTATTTGCACTGAGAAACCAAAAAATGTGTGTTACTCACTTTATTGCGATATTCACTGTATTGCAAGGGTCTAGAAACAAACTCGAGGTATCTTTGAGGTATGCCTGTACATGCCCGGTACTAGTTTAGGTAGAGAAAATGTAATGGTACAGGAACTTCCCTGCGGTCCAGTGGTTAAGGCCCTACCCTTCCAATGTCTGGTCAGGGAGCTCAGATTCTACACACTCCATGGCGCAGCCAAAAAACATTTTAAAAATTAAAAAAATACATAATGGTACATAAGACAGGCAAATCAAAACTAGCAAAGAAAAAAAAAAACATAAACAAGCAGAAGCTAAAGCATAAACAAACAAAATAATTTTAAGTTTTATTAAGTAATGTAAAGGAAACCAGTGAGATTCAGAAATAGCTAGATGAGGTGGACAAGAAAAGCTTCATTGAAAAGACAGCATTTAAGCAAGAATCAGCTATAAATATTGTGAAACCCCAGTACAGTTTTATTTATTCTATGATAGGTAAACAAAGCACTTTCCCCTTAAGATAGAAACTATGAAGAAAGTCTAATTACTAGTAGGTCTCTCTGAAAGAGACACCTCCTCCAGCCCTTCCATCCCAGGTGATTTTTGCAAAGCCTGTGGGGGTGGGGGCAAGGGTGGAACTTGGACTTTCAGCAATGGTGAAATATTATTGACCAGCCAAGGGCAAAGATAAAGAGACTTGGGAATGCCCCCAACAGGTCCCTGATGGAGCTTGGAAGAAACTGTTCTCTGAGTAGTTCTAAGTTTGTTTGTATGTGTATGTGGTTACTAAGTATATGTAAGTGTTAGTGTCTTTAAGAGTCTCAGAGCTGGGCTTGGCACAGTTTACAAAAATGTTACTTTCCTCTTCTCTCCTCCTGCGTTCTTTCATCAGGTAAGTCCAACCACAGCCAGGTGGTCCTCAATCAATCTACCCCCTTCTTACCCTTTATGGGTACGCAGACCCATCAACAAGGTGAAGAGTTGAACATCAATGGCCTGGGACAGTCACTGCTCAAAAGTCACTGAAGGGCTTTGCTTTCGACATGAAACGATCACAACATTGTTAATTGGCTATGGTGAAAGTCACTCAGTCGTGTCCGACTCTGTGACCCCATGGACTGTAGCCTACCAGGCTCTTCCTCCATGGGATTTTCCAGGCAAGAATACTGGAGTGGGTTGCCATTTCCTTCTCCAGGAGATCTTCCCAACCCAGGGATTGAACCCGGGTCTCCTGCATTGTAGGCTTTACCGCTTTACCGTCTGAGCCATCAGGGAAGTTTTAATTGGCTATACTCCAATATAAAATTAAAAGTTAAAAAAAAAAGTCACTGAAGGGGGATGGGGCCTCCTGCCGGGAAGAGTTAGTATTGGACTCAGATTTCTGTTCAGACCCTGACCTTATTTGCACTGATGTAATCAGCCAATATTGGCATAGTCTTGAGAGATCTCGTTCCCAGCAAGCCTGGAGGTGGGGGTAGTGCTGCTGCCTTCTCTATATAGAGGGTTCAGCCAGGTGCCCAACACTGTCCTGGGGCCTCTCCAGCTCACCATGGCTCGGGCATTGGGAGCGCCAGTTGCACTGTGGCTGTTGGGCTTGTGCTGGTCTTTGGCTAAAGCCCACCCTCTGTGAGTGAAGCTGAGGCTGGGGAAGGAGGACCGGGGTTGGGGTTAGAGTGGGATAGGGCCAACTTTTACGTCTGGCATCTTGGGACTTCCCTGGTGGCTAAGATGGTAAAGCATCTGCCTAAAATGCAGAAGACCTGGGTTTGATCCCTGGGTTGGGAAGATCCTCTGGAGAAGGAAATGGCAACCCACTCCAGTAGCCTTGCCTGGAAAATCCCATGGACAGAGGAGCCTGGTAGGCTACAGTCCATGGGGTTGCAGGGTCAGACACAACTGAGTGACTTCACTTCACTTCTTCAAGTCTGGGGTCAGGAGCTAAGGGAGAGCGGTTAGCTCCTGTGGAGCCAGACAGCTCCTTGTCTTCTCTCTAGGGCTAAAGCTCCTGAGCTGGGGCACGGAGTTGAAGGTGGGAATGTGGCCAAGCCGGATCCAGACGTGATAGGTGAGGCCCTGACTCTCTGTGTCTGTCTCTCTGCTTCTGCATTGTATCCCCTTACTGGTCTTTCACCTGCTGTCTCCCTACCTCCTCCCCAGAACGCTGCTCGGATGGCTGGGGCTTTGATGCTACCACCCTGGATGAGCATGGGAACATGCTGTTTTTAAAAGGTAGGAGGGGCTGGGATTGGGGCATTTAGGACCTCAGATTTGGTCCCTTTCACGAGGATGTATCCTGGTGGTCTTAAGAATTATTTAAGAGTATCACCCACGGCTTCCTTGTAACTATCTCAGTAGGCCCAAAGTTTGCTCTGGGTCCCTCAGTGACTGTGTGTTTTGCAGGGGAGTTTGTGTGGAAGGGTCATGCCTGGGCCCGGCAGTTAATCTCAGAGAGGTGGAAGGATGCCCCCAGTCCCGTGGATGCTGCATTCCGCTATGATCAAAACAGTGTCCTTCTGATCAAGGTACGACTGGACCCAGGTCAGGGCCAGGCCAGGAGTGCTGGAGTCAACACAAGAAACCCTCCCCCAGGTGGCCCTTGCCAACAGGTTCCAGGTTTCCTCCTCCTGGGCCTTCCTTTCTTGAGAAAGGTCAGGCTAGGGGTGTGTGTGTGTGTGTGTGTGCATGCAGGCCTGACAGGTACCACATCCAGTGGCTCTTCTTCAGTCCTAATCTGCGTCCACACCTCTCTGCTACTCCTCAAGCTGTTGACCATCCTTTCCTTCCTAGATATTCTTCCTTGGCTTCCATGACCCCACATCTGGTCTTCTTCCTGTGGTTGCCAGGTTGTTCACCGCACAGTGGTACCTGGCTGAGGGGTGAGTGGAGGATGAAATCCAGCCTACTGTGCTCATCAGGTCCCATGCCCTGGCCCAACTTGTGTCTGCTCCTTCTGGCACCTTCTCCTGACTCACACAAAGATGCCGTGTGGCTGGGTGGCCCTCACTGCCGGCCTTGTTTTCCCTCCTGCCTCCTTTCCTGCTCTTCTCAGCTTCTCATCCTGGGCCACTTCCTGAATGTTCCTTGGGGATCCTTCCCAGATTTTCCATTCACCCTCCCTGGGTGATCTCAACCACTGCCATGGCTCTGAGACTCTCCACGTTGTGGACACCAGATATGGATCTCTCCCCAGAGCTCCAGACTTTTCTTTGCAATTTCCTGGCTGACATCTTCAACTGAGATGTTCTGTAGACACCTCAAATGCAGCAATCCCCAAACGGAACGCAGTATCTTCTATACAAATCCCTCTCCTCCCAAGTGCCCTATTTCAGCAAATGGCACAACCACGCGCTGCATCCTGTAAGCCAGGTACACACAGGTCATGAGACCTGGCCCTTGCTTATCTTTTCAGGTTGATCTCTTCCCCCGCCACATTCACTGTGTGCCAGCCAGATGAGTATACTGTGTACGTGCGACTCCCTCTGCTAGGGAGGAGGGGCTGCGTTTGGGGCATTTGGGACCTCAGACTTGGTCCTTTTCACTGGGATGTATCCTGGTGGTCTTAGGAATTATATAAGAGCATCACCCATGGCTTCTTTGTAACTATCTCAGTAGGCCAAAAAGTTTGCTCTGGATCCCTCAGTGACTGTGTGTTTTGCAGGGGAGTTTCCACACTTGTCTACCTGGAAAATTCCTGCTCAGTTTTGCACACCTGGCCCAAATCTTCTCTCCTCTGTGCAGCCTTCTAGGAATTCTCTAGGTTGACTTAGGCACCTCTCCTTTATTCCCAATGCACTTCACATGCCACCTCCTTGGGGCTCACATGGCTAGGACTCACTAGGGGCTCACTTTCTGCTTTTATACAGTGAAAAAAAAAAATGAAGTCCTTGAAGGCAGAGATAGAGTCTTGTCACCCCTTCATGACCAGTGCTTCTCACAATACCTGGCATATGGTAGTCATTCAACAACTGTTTCTTGAGTGAATAAATGAACAAATGAATGTTTGAATGGATGGATGATTGCAGGATGACTGTGGATGTGTTTGCCAAAACCAACAGTGTTGCAGATAATTGTACCATGGGAGTGCTAGTTGTACATAGTCAGATGTGTGTGTGTAGTAACAATGATTGGATTTGCACAAACTGAAGGTGTATATTTGTGCAAGGGGTCAGCACATTGTTGTCCACAGATGGATTGAGGGTATGGGGGACTGCAGAAGAATATTATGTTAAGTGCAATAGATCAAAGGTGTCGTGTGAGCAGAGTGGCGGTGTCTGGCGTACATATTAAAAATAGCGTGCTTTTGTGTGTAGGGGGACAGATTCTGGGTATATCCTCCTGAGGAGGGGCAGGAATACCCAAAGTTGCTCCAAGAGAAGTTTCCTGGAACCCCATTTCCACTGGATGCAGCTGTGGAATGTCACCGTGGAGAATGCGCTAATGAGGGTGTCTTCTTCTTCCAAGGTCAGTGCAGGCTGGAATAAGAGAGTGTGGAATAGTGGTGGGATGGTGGTGAGGGAGGTTGTGGTAGGGAGGGTGGTGCTGGTAGAACCATGATATGGTTTCCCAAGAAAGAGAAATAGAGAAGCTAATTAAGGTCTACACAGTTTAAGTTGGGGAAGTAAGAGGAAGTCATTCTGGGGAAGTTAACTGGATATAATTCTGCTAAAAGGCCCTCATTGTCCTCCATGACCCTTAGGACAAATCTATGTTCTTTAGTTTCACAGAAAGGTTCTTCATGACCTTACATACAAGGTTCTCCAAGTCCCTCCAGCCTATTGACCCTCCAGCCTTTAGTCTCTCAATCCCTTCCCTTGAATATGAAGTCCCCCAAACTCTCTGCTATTCCCTAGACACCCAATTTGCTTCATGCTTTAGGCTTCCATCTCCCACTCTTATCTGCTTTGTAATTCCTTCAGATTTTAGTTTAAGTGTAACTTTCTCTGGGAAGTTTTCCCAGACTCTCCCCACTGCCCTTGCTGAACTGATCATGTGTGCTTTGCTGCTGAATTTTGTCATATGACTACTTGCCTTAATTCTTTCCCTGCTGGGCTGTGATCTCCATGTGATGGGGACCACATCTGGTCCATCCTGGGGCCCAGTGCAAGCACAAGGGAGGGCACAGTCTGGCCTCACCAAATGCTTGTTGGTTGATTGGACAAAGGCAACCACACGTGGTTCTGGGACTTCTCTACAAAAACCATAAAGGAGCGTCCCTGGCCGGCCGTTGGGAACTGCTCTTCGGCCATACGATGGCTCAACCGCTACTACTGCTTCCGGGGTAACAAATTCCTGCGCTTCAACCCTATCAACGGAGAAGTGAATTCCAGTTATCCTCGGGATGTCCGAGATTACTTTATGCCCTGCCCTAATAGAGGTGAGAAAGCCCCAGCCCTGGGACCTCTGGAGACATGCCCACCTTTCCTGAGTCTGCAAACGCCATACACCCCAGCTCCTACCCTCACCTATGTAATGATACCTTGGCCCTTGCCCCAGCCCCACTTCCATTCTGGCTCTTCCCAATTGTCTTCATATGGGGAAGACCTGCACCCCCAATACTCCCAGTGGTTTCTTCCACCTCAGACCTCATTCTGACCTTTTGCCTTCATGTGTTCTCCTTGCTTATTTCTCCCCCAAGGCCATGCACATAGGAATGCAACCCAGCATGTGGATAAGCGCTGTAGCCCACATTTAGTCTTGTCTGCATTGCTGTCTGACAATCATGGTGCCACCTATGCTTTCAGTGGTAAGAGATGCCCTCCAATCCCCCATCTCTGTCCTCCATACCTCCCAACTCTTTTGTGCATGCCTCTCATCTTTGAGATATTTCCTCCATTTTCATCATTGTGCCCCATATGAACGGCTCCCATCCTTTCACCCTAGCATGCTCCTTTTCACCTCTCATTCCCTCAGATGCATATGGTCCAACCTATCTCATTGTCCAGGCCTCTAACTTCTTCCACCTGTCTGCCTCTCAGTACTATCCATGCCGGGTCTGTGTCTTTCTGGACCTCCTGAGCCTATGACTCCTCATATTCCCTTTGTTCCTGCATATCTCTGACCCTCTCCCCACCCCCCTACCTCAAGCTTATCCCCAGGAGCTCCATCTTTTTTCCAGGTGCCTGGTTCCTATGTCCAGGCCTCTGGGCACAGCATTACCTGGAAATAAGATGTTCCCGTTGCTGAGAATCAGCCAAAAAGTGTTCAGTTCCTTAGATCTTTAGGCAATAGCTTCACTAGCCTGATGAGATTTCTTCCCTGAGTGACCAGGGGAGACCCCTCTCCCCAGACCTGTGCCATTAATTAGTAAAAGCCGTCTAATGCTACCTAAGGATAAGTCTCGATCTATACTTGAGGACAGCTCTAAGAGAAAGAGTGACCTACCACATTACACTCTGCCTAAGACATATGTATGACAGGCTACAAGTGTGAAACCGTGGTTTAGACTACAGCAGAGTGAAAAATCCTTCCTTACTCCTAACCCCTGAACAAATCTGATCAGATGTGACTACCAAGCTATAATGAAAAATACATAGCCGCAAGCAGAGCATATCCCCATAACAAGGGGGATATATAACATAACAGCATATCCTCATGCTATAATAAGAACATAGATCTGTGATGAAACACACGCCTACAGTGAACAAGTAGACCTGTCCTGAGAATACGTGCCAGAGTAAGAACACATACATATCAGGAGAATATGCAGCTATGGTGACAGCAAGGCACCACTGGGAGAACACACACACAAAGTGAGATCGATAGAAAGACATGGAGATAGAAACACTAAGAAAATAGGGCTACAGGGACCCCACAGAGATAGAGAACACTCACCCATGGGGAGATCGTGGAATCTCAAGGCCATGTGCGCATAAACAGAATGCAGCTGAAATCCTAAATCAAGAGTATTAGAGATGTTCCATAGCTGTTGAGAGAACACCGTTATGTTAAAAATACCCAGCCAAAGTGGGAACTCACTATGTTGGCAAAAACACGAGCCGTTTTTGACCCAGCCACTCAGCAAAGGGCCAGTTCTCCCCTCTCCCTTACTGATAAATCTCTTGTCTCTCCCTCATGGTTTCTAATCCATTCTTTCTGCTTTTCCAACTTTGGCTCACACATGGACCATCATGTCCTCTCAATTTTCTCTCTGGTTATGATCTTTTAGCCTCAGATACAACTGATAACTGCCTCGGTTGCTCTTTTTACTATTGGCTTTCCAGAGAGGGAATGGGACTGGCCTAGCCCCGTAGTTTTATTCCAGACCACATTAAAGTGGCTGCTGGTTGGCCTCTGCATTGGCCATTGATGGACTGGGGGCTCAGCACTTATTTCCTCTGCCCAAAGAGCAGCATAGCTCTGATTCTCAAAATAGGAGCCATGAGCAGGGTAGATTCATCAGGAGGGAAAGGTGGACATGTGGTCACTGAGACTTGCCTGGTTAATACACACAAAGAGAGCTTGTGGCTGCATGGGGAACACCAGCTATTTATCAAGCACCTGATAGGCACTGGGCATTGTTCTAGCCACTGGGATACAGTGATCAACATGGCAGACAAGACAATTACCCACATAGAGCCTGCTGGAGAGAGAGAAGATGATAAAAAAAGAGAGAGAGAAAATAAAACAGAGTACTTTCAGGCAGTGTTAATAGCTGTGAAATGTCCTGGGAACATTAGAATATTTCTTATTCCCAAAGACCATTTGAAGCTAGTATAAATGGATTTGTGAGTTGTTGATATTTTAAAATATAAAATAAAAAATGTTAAGTGTCAAAAAGCTGTGAAGGAAATAGGACAGAATAATTGGATACAGGTGAAGAGTATGATGGGCCCCTTCTCTGAGAGATGATTTTTTAAAAATATTTATTCTATTTATTATTTGTCTGCACCAACCTTAGTTGCAGCAAGTAAGATCTTATTCCCTGACCAGGGATCAATTAAACCCGGGTTCCTGCATAGGCAGATGGAGTCTTAGCTACCAGACTACCAGGGAAATCCTGAAGAGATGACCTTTGAGCTGAGATTTCAGTGATAAAGAGAAATTAGCCCCATAAAGCAATGGAGAAGAAACATTTTAGGGAAGGTGAACAGCAAATACTTTGAGGAGTCAAGAAAGGAGGCTAGTGTGACTCGTGTGTTGGGAAAGAGCAGATGAGTGGCTTGAAAAGAAGGAGAAAGGAGCCAGATCACATGGGTCTGGGAATTCCCTGGTGGTCCAGTGGTTAGGACTCTATGTGTTCACTGCTGAGGGCCCAGGGTTCTGTCATTGGTCGGAGAACTAAGATCCTGCAAGCCATGCATGGACCAACTAAAAAAGTAAAAAGATTATATCATGAGCCTGGTAAGGATTTTCAACTGTAAAAGGAAGCCAGGAGGGGATCTTGAGCTGGGCCATGATCTGTTCTTAGTTTTTTAAAAGATCATCCTGGTTTCTTGTGGAATGTAAGTCACAGAGCTATAATTGTATAAGCAGGGAATCAGGCGAAGAGTTTTCGTAGCTGTCTGGATTAGAGGTTATGACAACTTGGACTGGGATAACAGCACAGAGGTGGTAAGCAGTCATCATGATATATTCTGGAAGTCGAGTCCATAGCATTAACCAGTGCCTTGGATATTGGTCAGAGTGGGGAAGGGAAAAGAGAGGTTTCAAGAATGACTTAGTTTTGGGGGACTGGGAAACTAGGTGACAAGTGGTCCCTTTTACTAAGATTAGAAAAGACTAGGGTAGAAGGTATGTGTGTTTGGTGGGAGCAGAAATGAGTTTGGACACATTAGGGTATTGGTATCTAGTAGCCCGAAATGGACATGTCAGGTAGGCAGCTGAGTTTGAGCCTGACACTCAAAGAAAAGGTCCATCAGAGGTGGAGAGAACAGATCAAAAGTCGTCAGTATGCAGATGGGGTTTAAAACCCTGGGCTAGGTAAAATCACCTAGAGAGTGAGGGCAGATAGAGTGGAGGCCCAAACTAGGGGATTCTAATGTGAGATACCAGGCTGAAGAGGCATCAAAAAGGTAAGAACACTGCAAGGGTCTGGAATAACAGGAGCCAAAATTAAAAAAAAAAAAAATTAAAGGAGGGAGCTGTGAGCAGTCAAATGCTGCTAAGAGGTACAGTAAGAAGAAGACATTAGATTTCGCAAGTTGGAGGATACTTAACCCTGAAGAGAGAAATTTCAATGGCAGAGGGAAACAGGAATGTAAGTGAAGTGGACTGAGGAAGGAAAGGTAAATAAAAGTTTAGACAATTTCTTTAGGAAGTTTTTATGAAAAGGGGAGAGGAAAATTAGGGGGCTGGTCTGGCTATTCCCTCTGTCTCTGGCCATCTCCAGGGATTAGAGAACAGAGCCCGTGTGAGAACATCCAGGGGGAGCTTGCTGGGGTCTTACCTTTTTTTTCGAACTTTTTATTTTGTATTGGGGTTTAGATTCTATGTTGTGATAGATTCAGGTGAACAGCGAAGGGACTCAGCCATACATATCCATGTATCCATTCTCCCCCAAACCTCCCCTCCCATCCAGGCTGCCACATAACATTGAGCAGAGTTCCATGTGCTATACAATATGTCCTTGTTGGTTATCCACTTTAAATATAGCAGTGTTTTAGGTTATAGGTCCTTGTTGGTTATCCCTTTTAAATACAGCATTTCTAAAAAGAAATGACGCAAATGAACTTACAAAACAGAGAGAGACTCACGGACATAGAAAATGGACTTATGGTTGCCAGGGGAAAGGGACAGTTAGTGAGTCTGGGATGGTCACACATGCTGCTTCCCTTTTAACTTCTGGTCACCGTCTCATTGTAGCACCTCCTCACATGGATATCTGAGATGCATAAGGAGCCCCCACCAAACCTCATAACGTTGGCCTGATCTAGCAACCTGGCCACTCTTCTCCAAGCTTGCCCTTCCATCAGGCCCCCTGCTGCCTCCAGTTCCATCAGGTCACAATGCCTAACTTTTCCAACCACCTGCTTGCTCTACTTTCTCACCTAGCCTCTTCTCTCTTGGCCTCTGGATGCACTCTCTCCTCCCTCTTGGGACTCACCCCTGCATCTGTCACTTGCCTCTTCACGGCCTGACCTTTTACCACAAGCACTAGAGCTCCCTCTGCTACCCCACAGAGAACCACTACTGGCGTCTGGACAGCAGCCGGGATGGGTGGCATAGCTGGCTCATTGAGCATCTGTGGCCCCAAGGTCCCTCAACAGTGGATGCTGCCTTTCTCTGGGAAAATAAGCTCTATCTGATCCAGGTGTGTGATGGGAGAGAGGCCTGAGGTGGAGACTGGGGAGAATACCCTGCTCTGTGCTGATTAATGTCCTTTGTCCTCCAGGGTACCCAGGTATATATCTTCCTGACAAGGGCAGGCTACACGCTCGTACAAGATTATCCAAAGCAGCTGGAGAAGGAATTCGGGAGCCCTCACGGGGTCAGCCTTCATTCCGTGGATGCAGCCTTCATCTGTCCTGGATCTTCTCGGCTCCACATCATGGCAGGTGAGGGGCGTCGGGTGCCGAGGGGTGGCTGGTTCTGTGCTTCTCCATCAGGGCATGAGAAAGGTCAGGTGCAGATCCCTGTGATGTGGAAGCCATGTTACATCCGGTGTCTCTTCCCAGGCCAGAAGCTGTGGTGGTTGGATCTGAATTTAGGAGCTCAAGCCACGTGGACAGAGCTTCCTTGGCCCCATACGAAGGTCGATGCGGCCCTGTGTACGGAGAAGTCTCTGGGCCCCCACTCGTGTTCCGCCAATGGTCTGGGCTTGTACCTTGTCCAAGGCCCCAATCTGTACTGCTACAAAGACGTGGAGGAACTGAGCAAGACCAAGAACCTTCCCCAGGCCCAGAGGATGAACAGCCTCCTGGGCTGCGCTCCCCCCCAGCACTCCTGATGCGAGTCTGGTCCAGTTCCTCCTCCCCATCTCCTCACAGTAAAGCCACAGTGCTTCTTCACTTGAATCAAAGGGCCCTGTTTGTGGAACAATCTCACTTCTTTGAGTTGAGAAGCTTTTAACCTCTCTTTTTGAGACTCTTAAAGCTACAGGAGGTAAGGGAGGGGAGGACTGAAGGACAAACCTCATTTCTTTACAGGTGATTCCTGAATCCCAGTCATAAACTGGCTCCAGACCATCATCACAGACAGGGAAACAGAGGGGAGGGAGATTTCAGAGGGAGGGGATATATGTATGTATATATATATATATATCATTATGACTGATCCATGTTGTTGTACAGCAGAAATCAACACAACATGGTAAAGCAATTATCCTCCAATTGAAAAACAATATTAGAAAAAAAAAAGAGGGGAACAGAGAAAAAATGTAGAGAAAGGAGCCCATGTGTTGGCACAGCAAGTAAGAAGCAGAGCAGGGACTCTGCCCTGCTAATAACGGACCACACTTTGGCCCCAGGACATCAGGAAAATAGGGCTGGAAGTGGCTACGCTTGCACCAAGTGGACTGGCCCAGTGCTGCCATGAAGGGCTGTAGGAGTCCTCAAATTGTAGATCCAGGGGATTCAGGCAGCATCACAGCAGAAGATGAGGCTTGGTTGCTGTGAGTCAGGCACAACAAGCGGAACGAAAAATGAGTGTTTTCACCTGCCTGAAGCAAGCTGGGAAAATGGAAGAAGGACTGACTCTGGGGCCTGGCACTATGGAACACATTTTCAGAATGTTACACAGCCTCGTGGGCATCCTGTTGGCTGCCTATCAGTCCCCTGGATGTTTGCACCATCTAGTCCAGCAGTGTCATCTGGGTGGAGGTTACAGTGGTTTGTTCTTTTCTGGTCATAAGCTGACCAAGACTTTAGGGTCCAAACTTACTGACAACCGTTTGATTGGGGATTGGCCTGGACTATAGGCAACTGGGTCTCGAGGTGAGACCATTTTCTTCCTCTACCTTTCCAAGTCACCTGAGGTTGAAAACTTGCTTTAGGCTCAAAAAAACAGCCTCAGACTCTAGCAAGGGGCCCTCACTCTGAGCTTCCATATGCTAGCCTCAGTGACCTCTTTCATTAAATGGGCACAATACTAGACAGTTCTCTCTGACAATGAGTATGGACTCAAACCCACCTCTTGGATTCACTCCAGAGGATCCTTGGAAGGATAACCACACTCTGGTCCATGGTTCCTCCTGACCTGGTGGCCCCATCCTCTGTGGGGCTTTGGAGTCTAAGAAGAGAAGACAGACAAACCTGGCACTGGGAGGCCAGGCCATAGCGTGGTTCCCAGCAGGCACCAGGCCCTTGTTGTTCAGGAGAACTGCCTCAGGTTCCTTTCCCAGGCTCAATGGCTGGGAAGAGAAGCAGGTGATGAACCCAGGCCCCTTAGATCGTGGTCCATCCAGGACTCGAGTTTGGCTGGGACTGGAAACAGAGGAAGGGGCCAGGCACCAGGGCTGCGGGATCCACTTCCAAGAAGTGTCTTGAGTTTTCCCTTCCATCCTTGAAGATGTCTGGATGGTTCTCCTCATGGGGTTGACTTATTCTCCTTCAGCCTGAGGGGTGAAGACAAGGCCAGAGTCTTAGTTCTGGGTCTCGTCCAGTCCATGTGCCACATCTGGGGCCAACACTGCATCATGTCAGGATGCCTAGAGGTGTTCTAAATAGTTATCCAGCAACTCTGGTATTGCAGGCTAACTTCCTCCTCTACTGAGAAAGGAAGACTAAGTGTCCTCTTTCTTCTCTTCTCCCATCTGCTCTATTGAAGGGAAGCCTCTAAGCTTGTGTCCAAGGATCTTTCAGAAAAGGTCAACTCATGATTCTTCCATCCACCCTCTTAGCACCTCCTATGCTCAGGGCATTGTGTCAGGCAGTAGAAAAAGAGATGGGTTGGACAGTTCCTGCCCCCAAGGTCTGCCACTCTACACAGTTGGGGCAGGTGGGGGAGGTTGAGGGGGAACACAGACAAGGCATCAGATAAATGCAATAGAGTGAGACAGACATTAAGATGGAAGACTATATATGAAAATGAAATCAGAGCCAGTAATACCTGGATGGGGAGCAAGTTAGGAAAGCCTTTATAGCTGAATTTTAAAAGATGAGTAGAATGTATGCAGTCCTTTCAGTTCAGTTCAGTTCAGTTCAGTTGCTCAGTCGTGTCTGACTCTTTGTGACCCCATGAATCGCAGCTTGCCAGGCCTCCCTGTCCATCACAAACTCCAGGAGTTTACTCAAACTCATGTCCATCGAGTTGGTGATGCCATCCAGCCATCTCATCCTCTGTCATCCCCTTCTCCTCCTGCCCCCAATCCCTCCCAGCATCAGGGTCTTTTTCCAGAGTCAACTCTTCGCATGAGGTGACCAAAGTATTGGTGTTTCAGCTTCAGCATCAGTCCTTCCAATGAACACCCAGGGCTGATCTCCTTTAGAATGGACTGGTTGGATCTCCTTGCAGTCCAAGGGGACTCTCAAGAGTCTTCTCCAACACCACAGTTCAAAAGCATCAATTTTTTGGCACTCAGCTTTCTTCACAGTCCAACTCTCACATCCATACATGACTACTGGAAAAACCATAGCCTTGACTAGACAGACCTTTGTTGGCAAAGAAATGTCTCTGCTTTTTAATATGTTATCTAGGTTGGTCATAACTTTCCTCCCAAGGAGTAAGTGTCTTTTAATTTCATGGCTGCAATCACCATCTGGCAAATATATATTCACTGCCTGCTATGCACTACCATGCCCAGTGCACTACAGGCAGAAGAGGCAACACAAGCAAAGAAGAGCCAGGAGTGGAAACCACAACTACTCAGCAGGGCTGCGTACAGGAGATGAGTGAGAGGCTGGTTGGAGGTGAGGCTGGAGAAGGAGCCAGGGGCTTCTCAGGCTTGCCTATCAGGCTAGGAAGCTTGGATTTTGTCTATCTTTGGGGCAATGGAGACCTACTGAGGGATTTTAGACCAAGGAGTCCTCACACTTGATGAGATTTACATTTTAGAAAGATGACTCTGACTGTTGCAGAGTGGATTCTGGGTGAAAGGAGATCGCTGTGGATGTCAGAAAGTCACTGAGGAGGTCAGTGCTATGGTCCAGGTATAAATCATAGAGGCCCGGACACTGGTGCAATGGAGATGAAGAGAAGCAGGCAGATTAAAAATCATTTGGGGGATTTCCCTGATGGACCACTGGCTGAGACTCCACACTCCCAAGGCAGGGGGACTGAGTTCGATCCCTGGTCAGGGAGGTAGATCCCACATGCTACAACTAAGAGTTCGCATGCAACTAAGTCCAACTAACACCTTGTGCAGCCAAATAAATTACTTAATTAAAAAGAAGACATTCTGTAGGACTTGCTGAGAGACAGGATAGGAGGGTGACAGAGTGAGAATTTCACTGCCAAACTCCTCCAGGGCCCCTTATCCTGCTCATCATTGTGCCGCTTCTTCCCAAATTTTCCATGGTGCCCTCTCAAATGCACACTCCATGGTCAATAAGCTTCTCTATATTCTTTACACACTCCGTGGTTAATATGCTTCTCTCTTTCTCTCCAATGAAGAGATCGGGCTCTGCCCCAGGGACTTCTTCCTTCCCCTAGAGCTGTCCCAGTGGAAGGGAAGCAGCTCAGCATTGGCAAGACTCCCATACACGCTTATGCTATTTTCTTCCTCTTTCTATGCATGTTAAATTCTTTTCTTTGGCATCAAGCAAATGAGCCATAGTATCCTTATGGCTCTCATCTACTAACCTCCTGACTATGTCCTCACTTGCTGAAGACCCTACTTCAGTCACCCAAACTCAGACCCTAGTCGTCATTCACAACTGCTCCACCTGTGAAGAAATTCCTTAAATTCCAGCACCCTCCTTGTGACCACAACCTCCTACCTTTATCCTTCTTCATTCTCTCTCACTGCTCTCTGACATTTTTCCCATCTAAATTGAACATCAAGGTTGACCAACTGAACAATTTTCTTAACAATGGCTTTATTTCTCTGTTCCCTTTAACTTCTATTTAATCTAACCATGGAAAAGAAACAAAAACAACAACAAAAGCCAACTTTAGGGCAGAGAAAGAGTGTGAGCTTGAGTCAGACATGTTTGAACTCCAGTTCTAGTTGGCCCACTTCCTAACTCTGTAGATTTGAGAAACTCAGCTTTTCTGAGCCTTGTGTGTGGCGTATGCAAAATAGGAAAATATGTATCAATTACTGTTCCATAAAGATAGAGAGAGCGCTCTAGATATGCCAAGTAGAGGAGGATTCTTTTTTTTTTTTGCATTTAAAAAATTACTTATTTTTAATTGGAGGATAATTGTTTTACAATGTTGTGCTGGTTTCTGCCACACATCAACCTTAGAGGAGGATTTAACAGCAAGGAATTTGTTAGAAAATTGTGGGGGAGGTCTGAAGAAGCATAAGAAGGAAAACAGAGTTACCCAGAGACCAGGACACTACCACTGGTCTTGACTTAAAGGAACAAAAGGCAGAAAAGGTATTTCCCAAAGAACAAGGAGGTGGAACCCACAAATCTGCACTGGGTGCTAATGCAGCTAGAGTCTGTATTGCTGATGCTGCTGTAACAGCCTCCCTGTTTGCTAGGGTGGAGCCACTGCTCCTGAATTTCCTCCTGAAGAGGCCCTGCCAAAAGCAGAGTGACTCTTTCCTTCCTCCCACCTTCTTCAAGCGAGGGTTCCCATTGGCACAATCTAACTGGAACAAAGCGACAAACAAACCTGAGAAATGTGGTTTTCAGATCTCCAGCCTTGTTGGTACAAGGGAGATTACAGAACAATGGATGTAGGGCTGAGTACCAATAGGCAATATTGACCTCATATATGTGTCATAACTCTTGGTTGTAAGCTATAAAACCCAGCTCAAAGTGGTGTAAACAAAAAATATTGATCAACTTATGTGACTTCAGGAAAAGGTAAACAAAGGTGTTAAATGGAATTATCAAGCATCTGTATCTCTCCATCCTTTAGCTCTGTTTTTTTTACATTGGTTTCATTCTCAGGCAGGCTTATCCCTTC